TTTTGCTATAAATCAATGTTGTCAAATGCTGTTCCTAATGTTGTTAATGTAAGTGCAAAGCTCTTCTGTGCCTTCTTTTTGGTTTTATTATTTTTTTTTATTCTCAGTTTTTTTTTTCTGATAACAAAAAATTGTTGTATAATTCTGCAACGTAGTACTAAATCATCAAATTTAGCTTCTTCTCCTTCTTCTTCTTCTTCTTCTTCTTCTATGTCGTCATCAAAATTATTGTCACCGTCTTCCAGTTCCTCTATCACTTTTCCAATTTCTTTCCTATTTTTCCTTCTTTAATTTCTTTTTTTTTTTTGAATTTTTTGTACTATAATCCCGGTAATGAAGCAGTTATGGTAATACATGACTTGTCAGCATTTACTGTTTACACCTTCACTGTATAAAATTACTGTTTGAAGTTTTTTTTTTGAATTTTGATTTAAACTTTTTTTTTTTGTAGTCTTTTGTAGTCTTAAGCTGAATGGTGTTCTGAGAGAATAGACTTGTAAAAATTTCTTGACATTACTAAAACTGTTACAGCAAAAATTTTGTACTCTGGTAATGCTGATGTTACTGACGATGATCATCATTAATTTTGGCGGTATTTTTTGCTATTTTTTTACTACCTGTAAAAATACATGAATATTTATAGATATAGTTTGAATTTTTCTTTATTATTCTTAAAATAGTCTTCATCAGTGTTGGTTAAGCAATTACCGGTGACAAAAGATCTGTTCATTGTTTATCTGGTTGCATTGATCTGTGTTTTGGTTCAAAAATGCATAGTGTGATGGAATATTGGAGCTGCAATATTACCAGTGATGCTGACGATGCCGTGCTGGGATGTGAAGGAAAGGACGGACAACCAAATAATGATAGAAGTGAGATAAATCTGAACTGCTCACACTACTGTTTAGTCCTGTAGGTCAGCTGTCGGAGCACAGCACCATCTTGTAAAAAAAAAAAAAAAAAGTTTTTGTTGTCAAAAGTAACAGCGGTTGTGATTTTTCTAGGTGGAATATCCAGAAAAACATATTTTGAGCATTGCCTCTGTTTTGCTTATCGACTTTTTTTCATCTACTGGTTTGATGA